ACATGTCATAGCATGCATGTGGAGGAGGACACATGTCATAGCATGCAGGTTGATAGACTTACACAGCAAGCACCTGCTGAGCCATCTTGTCAGCCTTCCATTTAGTGTTCATAGACTTCGCAGAAGTGAAAATCATTTATGGGCCCCTGAAATGTGACTGGTCACTCTCATGGCTCCTGTCCCTGTTTCCTAAGCTCTGCCGTGGTCTCCTCTTGGCCTCACTTTTCTGTGTCTGGCTGGCTGGACGAAGCTCTTTCTAAAGTGGCTCAGGTCTTGGCTGTCACTCCCAGTCTCTGTTCTTACACAGGTTTCTTTGGGAGGGTTTTGATTCATCCCAGGATCTCGTACCTACTGCTCACTTTGTACTACTTCACCATCGCTCTTACAGTACGGATGTGGAGCCAGGCTAGTGAAAGTCGAGCGTACAAGCTCCCTGACATACCAGCTATGTGACCATGACCCCATCATGTGGCCCGTCTGCCCTCAGCTTTCCCGTCCACCTAGGATAGTGTATACTGTAGTCTCTAGCCTGGTATAGAGTGTGGAGCTGGTGTAGAGCACGGCTTCTCAGGTCACCAGGGCAGTAACTGAGAGACAGCGTACAGAGCACAGTGCCTGGTACCCTAGTGCTCTGAAAACTCCAGCTGGCAGCATGGCTGTCACAAATCATCCTCATTGGGAAATCCTCCTTGCCAGCCTTCAGGCTGAAACCAATAGAGGGGCAGAGCCACACATTCGAGGATCTTGCAGATGCTCAGGGATATACGCCTTCCCTTGACATTAGCACTGAGGACTGGCTGGGAGCTGGTCTGGCCCAGGCACTGGAGACACACTGCTCACTCTGGCTAACAGATGCCTAGACAGATCTCATGCTGGCTGTGTAGTCAGTAGGTGTGCATGGTGGAACACTACAGTGTTTACTCCAGCACAGCCGCTAACCCAGGAACCTGCCTGCAGACTCTCAGAAGCCTGCTAAAGCGAACAGCCAAGCTCCATGAAAGAAAATTATCCCAAAGTTGGTTGTAGCTGTCCCTCATGGTGCAATCGGACGGTCTCTATCATTCCAGTGGCTCTGATAAGGCTGAGCAGAGGCAGGCATGGCTCACGGTGGAGCCTCCCTCAGGAACAGGCTGCCAGACCTGGCACGTCGCTGCCTGCCTGTGTGACTGTGCTTCAGTGCGGGACTGAGTCACTCATAAAGAGACAGGAAAACAACATCGCTGTCTCTTGCAGAGCATCGGATCCAGTAAATGTTTTGGTATGCTTTCTTGGCTCAAGTTGGTTCCCAGGAAGCTAGAAAACACCTGGATTTCTGAATGTGAGCCAGACTCCCAGAGCAGACAGAGTGCCCAGTATTGAGGGTTAGGGTTGGCACTGTGGGTGCTGACACTGATGGTGTGTTTGTACAGTCATTTCACGTTCATCCCTACTTCAGTCATGACCTCAGCTGTTCACTGTGCCCTTCCTGTCCCTGTAGGAAGCTCTTCAGCTACAGAGGAGAAAGTTACTCCATTCACTAGCAAATGTACAAAGGGGCACATATGTGTGTATGCATACATACAAATCAGATGTATGTGTGTATATATATATGAATTATATATACATATATGATATATGTGTATATATGAATTGTGTATATATACATATATGCTATATATGTATATATGTGAATTGTATATATACATATATTATATATATACAATTCCTCCATTCTAGAAGTAATTGTAGCATGTTCATTACATAATGTATTGTTTTACTAATTATGTTTATCATGTATTACTTATAGAAATAATTTTTTACTTACTAGAGAAAACTAGAAAATAATAAATTTGTTATTCTTGCAGAAATGACCTTTCTGCCATACAGATAAATGTGACAAGTACTTTAAGGCTCTTTTCCAGGCTTTTTTTCACAGATCTATGTATAAGTATAAGATACAGTTTGATAATGTAAATAACATCTGATTTATGATTTTTCATTTAAAATACTTAGAGACTAAGTATTGCTGATCTCATTTCCAGTGGCCGCAGGCGCTATGATTAAAACCAGTAATGAGGCAGAGAATGCAGAGCTGTTCACAAGGCCCATAGCAGGCCGTAAGGGGACCTTCCATCCCTAACCTCGTGGCCATCTTGTTGTACCTGCCACAGGCTCCTGAGGGACGGAATGGTGTGGTGCACACATCTGCAGTTTATCTGGGGTCTCCAGCTGTCTTCCGGCGCAACTACAGGACTGACTGGTGTCCATTCTGTACTGTTTTGCTGTCTCCCTCAGTTACGAGAAAAGCAAGCCTATGTGGAGAAGGTTGAGAAGCTGCAGCAGGCCCTGACCCAGCTGCAGTCTGCATGCGAGAAGCGGGAGCAGATGGAACGCAGGTTGCGGACCTGGCTGGAGAGGGAGTTGGATGCTCTGCGGACCCAGCAGGTGAGCAACAGACAGGCTGAGGGGGTGGTGAATCAGATGGCATGGCGGCTTACAGATTCACCTAGTAGCCCCATGAGGGCCATCCAATGGACTCTGCACCTACATGGCCTCCAGGGGGACTGGGGTCTCTGGCTTGAGCCCAGAAAAAGGGGACTGCACTTTAGGTGACCTTACATGGGGGATGTTGATTTCATGGGCACGCAGGACGAGAATGCAGAGGCAGAGGAGGAGGACAGGTGAAGGGCAGGGCCTTGGAAGTGTTGCGAGGCCAGGGCAACTGGGTGCTGCTCTGGAGGAGTGTCTGTGGGGTGAATTCTGACGAGGTGATATCCAACTGTGGAAGGCACTTGGCCACATGGGGAGAGTGACTTTCTTCTGTAGCCAGTGGAGAACCAGCCCCTGGGGAGAAGTTCAGGTTAGGGGAGCCTGTGGTAGATCAGAGAAGAGCGGCTGCAAGTAAGGGTGAGCAGGGGTCACACTGATCTCTGAGTTCAGTGGGGGAAGGCGCTTAGGGCTCCCTGTAGTAAGACATCTGCTCTGCCAGTGACAGTTGGTCGTGAAGCTCAGCGGAGAGGAAGCACTGGGAGGATCGCATCAGCCCAGGGTTCTTACATGTCTCAGCAAAGAGAATTCCTGCAGAAAATGCCAAGTCAGGCAAGCCAGAGGCTCCAGCCTCAGATATGCAGGGACTTGCCCAGTTTACTGGTCGTGTGTCAACTTCACACAAGCTGGAGTCACCAGACGGGAAGGACCCTCAGCTGAGGAGATGTCTCCATGAGATCCAGCTGTCAGGCATTTTCTCAATTAGTAATCAGCCCACGGTGGGTGGTGCCATCCCCAGGCTGGTGGTCCTGGGTTTTATAAGAAAGCAGACAGCAAGCCAGGGACAGCAAGCCAGTAAGCAGCACCCCTCCATGACCTCTGTATCAGCTCCTGCCTCCAGGCTCCTGTCCTGACTTCCTTTGATAATGAAGAACAATGTGGAAGTGTAAGCCAAATAAACCCTTTGCTTCCCAACTTGCTTTTTTGGTTTAGTATTTTGGTATAGCCGTAGAAGCCCTAGCTAGGACCCCTGATTTTCCAGGGAGCTGGGAAGCTCTCCCTGAAGCCGCCTGGGACATTTGCGAGGCATGCTCCGCGGAATTGCCTAGGATAGGGCCAAGTGGTTGAAAACATGTCATCTGGTCAGCTTAGCCACAGTGCATGGCAGGTCCATGCAGGTCCCTCTGGGAGTGTGCCCTTGGCTGAAGAGGACAGTGCTGCCAACATTCCCTAGAAAATGAATTCATCTCTGGGCTCCTGGTACTTAGACTCGGTGCACAGTGCAGAGCCTCTTCTCCATCAGCCAATTTCTCTTGCTCAGCTGCTGAGACTCCCGTAGTCCCACTGAGTGCAGGGGCGGTGTGCAGACGATAGACCTTAAGATCTCCGGCTAACAAAGTGAGCTCCACTAAAGCCAGAAGTGTTCCTTTCCAGCTACTGTGCTGTCCACCCCTGCGGACAGGTGGCCTATCTGTGGATCTTTAGGTGCTGTGAGACCAGACTCAACTGTAGATGAATTGAGGGGCTACCGGCTCACAAAAACCAGCACAGAGACTTATTATTGTCATGAAAGCTCGGCCCATAGCTTAGGTTTATTTCTTGCTAACTCCTGTAACTTAGCCCATTTCTCTTAATTTCCCCGCTGCCGCGTGTCTCGTGGTTAGTTACTACTCCTGCATGTCCTGCTTCCCCTGCATCTGCTGGTGACTGCTGGTGGCTCTGCCCTTCTTCCCAGAATTCTCTCTGCCCCCCAAATTTTGCCTAGCTATTGGCTGTGTAACTTTTTATTAAACCGATCACAGTGACGTATATTCACACAAGTATAAAGGACTGTTCCACAACTGTAAAGAAGGAATGTGAGTCTAGACTCATACAGATATGCTGCAATCATATGTATATACCCACACATACACACCCTATACAACATGCGTATTCCTGTACAGACTCACCCCGAACATGTTTGCCAGCATACATAGTCACCCTCTGTATACATTCATCCCTACCCACATATTGATCACCACAACACACATGGTTACTCCCTGCACATGCTCGCCTCTGCTCAGCACATCACTGCACGTCACACATACTCATCCTCACACACACACACACACACACGTTTGCCCCCCAAATATTCATCCCCTGTACAAGCACACTCTCATGTATACCCACTGCCATGCACTCTCACCCCCATGCCTCCCCAAGCCAATATGAACAGTGCTCTTGGTATGCATGGGGCGGGGTGTGGCAGGATTGAGGCTCTCTGGGGAGACCACCTTGCCTGCACATTGGGTCTTCTCTGGGAGCTAATAGCGGATCTGCGTGCACGTGGCTAGCGAGAGTAGAGTAAGGGGCTCTTCAGAGCTGAGCAGAGCTTTGGTGCTCAGCATCGCTTTACAAGAATTTGTGTTGCTGAAGGACAATGTCACGCTGTGTCCTAGATGTGCAGTGCACACAGATTTTCCTGGGGCCCTTTTGCCATTGAAAAGATAAGAATTGGGTTTTTCATTTCTGATTTTGCCAATGACCATTATTTTATGAGGAGAAATGGTTAAAATGGCTCTGCAGAAATGTTCAAATAAATTTTGGATTCTTTTTTATCATTCTCGGGGCAGGTGCTATAGAGGGTACCAGTTCACACTTAAGGTGTAAAGCCAAGAGACCGGCAGGAGCAGTTCCACCTGCATCTTCCAGTGTGACTCAAGAGTTGCCTCGGAATAAGGAAGTTCAGCCTTTCTGCAAAAGACTAGCCCAAAGCCTCTGACTCCCCTAACCCCAGTCACCCTGCCAAAGCCACACAGTGCCTGCCCCTTCCTGGTGCTCACATGGGCAGCCTAGGGTCAACTTCTGAAGCAGCCCATACCATACCTTGCCTTTTGTGCTTTGGCAACAAGACTTCTGTCTGGTCTTTTTAGGAATCATGCTGAAGTCATACATAGTGTTTCAAAGTTCAGAGTCATCAATGGCCTGGTGAAGAGCAAGACCAGGCCACCTCCTTCAGAGTGGCTCAGTGTCAAGATGCCACAAAGAATCTCCGTCTTAACACTGATACTGGGGCACAGCGGAGTTTCCACCCCTCAACAGAGTCCACATGTTCCTTTGCAGTGTCCTGGATACTTTCAGAGTGTGGGACACGAGATGGCCAGAGTGCCAAGGACCCTTCATTGGTTTGGGGCATGGGCTCCAGCATGAGACCCACAGGACAGGACGCTTGTCTCCTCCCATCAGAGAACAGCCTTGCAAGAAATCTACCTGAGACTCAATTTCCTCATCTGCAAAATGATGGAAGCACATTGAGCTTCTCCTGTTCTTACAACCACAATCCAGAAAAACTGTACAGGGCTCAGGCTGTAGTGCAGTGGTTGAACACTTGTCTAAGGTGTATGAGCCCACAGGAAATTCCTGCTTCTCCTTCTCTCTCTCTCTCTCTCTCTCTCTCTCTCTCTCTCTCTCTCTCCTTCTCTCTCTGAAGTTCTGTTACCCCAAAACAGATGACAGTGTCAGACTGAAGAGATGAAGAGGGAGAGATGGTTTACCTGAGTTAAGGAGGAAATCTAAAATGTGACTCTTCTCCGTCCCAGAGACACCAGATAGCATCCACCTTAGTTCCTCCTTCTAAAGATCACATGTCACCCCGTGTCTCCCAGGTGACCGTATGGCAGCTAGAAACTGCATGTTTAAGCATCTCACTCTACTTCTGTGCTTTTCTGCTTTTATCCTCTGATGTCCAAGGGGGCAGTCTGGAGCCGCTCCTCGGAATCCTGGAGGAAGAGCCGTGAGGCCAGGACTGAATCCTGTTCTTGAATTTGTATATATTAACTACATGGTCTACCTTAGATATGGAGCCAGACCTGGATTTGAATCCCAGCTCTGCTTTGCATTAGCTAAAGACATCAAAGCATGAACATGGTCTCTCATGGACTTAGTCTCTACATGCAAAACTGGAATAGTATGTGTTCTATAGAGCTGTGTGGGCATTAGATAAAAAAAAAGGGACGTGGAAGTGGCATGGGGGCTGGGACCCACTGAACTGAGGTGATCCATGTTGGAGAGAGGGAACAGGGACCTAGCTGATACTGATGTGTAGACCCTGCAGGATTGAAGACCTGCGTGTCCCCCTTCATGGAGTGGAAGGGCAGGTTGGTGTGATGTCTTGTGGCCCATTTGGAGCATCATGATGGTGTTTTTACTTCTCCAGAAACATGGAAATGGTCAGCCAGCCAGTCTCCCCGAATATAATGCCCCTGCCCTCATGGAACTCGTACGGGAGAAGGAGGAGCGGATTCTAGCCCTGGAGGCTGACATGACCAAGTGGGAGCAGAAATACCTGGAAGAAAGCACCATACGGCACTTTGCCATGAGTGCTGCTGCCGCTGCCACCGCCGAGAGGTGAGAGGTGGTCCCACGGCTCAGGACCGCAGGCAGGTGGGACTGCAGGCAGAGCTAACGGTGGGATCTCAGCTGAGAGGTGAGAGGTGGTCCCACGGCTCAGGACCGCAGGCAGGTGGGACTGCAGATGGGCTAACGATGGAATCTCAGCACTCAGAAGGCTGGGTCAGAAGGATGAGGGATTCAAAGACAGCCTGTGCTACAGTTAAATTTCGTCTCAAAAGCAAATAAAAAGTTCAGGGGGCCCAAGGAGGTCCAGAGAGGCCTATCACAAGGAACAAGATCTGCCTTTTTAAAAATTTTTATACATTTTATTATTTTTTAAAAAGCTTGCAAATAAAAACATCCCACAGAAAAATTACCCAAAGTCCATACAATTCAGTGTACTTCTATACAATTAGAATTGGTTATCGGAATGGAAAACTATAAGACTTGATATTAGATTTTATGCTTTCAGTATCAAATATATTTTATACATGTATCCACCACCCAAACACTTGTATGTGTGTGTATGTAAGTATAGGCACACATATGCTGGAACACGGAGTAGGGGTGTCAGAGAACAGCGCTGGCGCTCACCTTCTACCTTGGCTGACAGTCTCTTCACACTCTTTCATCGAATACACCAGTCTAGCCGGCTCAGGAGCTCTCAGGGAGTCTCCACCTTACTGTGGGGACTGGGATTACAGGCATGTGCTACAAGCCTCAGACTTACACAGGTTCTGGGGATTCAAACTCAGGTCATGCTTGCATAACAACCGCCAAGACATCTGCCCCACCCAAGGTAAGTTTTCAAACTGTATTGCTGCCTGAAGACACATAGGTTCTCGTAGATAGCAAGGGGCTCCACGCCCGTCTGCCCTAAACTACACAGGTTCTCATAGCTAGCAAGGAGCTCCACGTTCATCTGCCCCAAATTGCACAAGTTCTCGTAGATAGCAAGGGGCTCCATGCCCATCTGCCCCAAACTACCCAGGTTCTCGTAGATAGCAATGGGCTCCACGCCCGCCTGTCTGCCCCAAACTGCACAGGCTCTCGTAGATAGCAATGGACTCCATACTCATCTGCCCCAAACGCCAGTCCAGGACATCCTACCCCCTTTTGGCATGTGTGGACACCCATACACTGTGTGTCTGTGTGTGCAAGAGAGCACACACACAAGAAAACACAAAGTAAGTCCTATAAAAACAGAATAAAAAATAAACGAAAAACCAATTTGGTAATTCCAGCATGCCTTTCTTGATGGCACAAAGGAAAAAGCTATTTTGAGAAAAAAATGAAACCTCAAGCACTTGTCTCCATGCTGACTGGCTGCAGACACATGGACCAACGAGACTGTTTCCAGCCATTAAGTCCCAAGCCTGCTGTGTGTGTCACATTTATAAGCAGATTTTTAGGCAAGCAATATGGTCTTTATACGTCCACTGTTTTTCCTGTCCGGTGCTAAAATTCTTTTCCTGGGGGAAATGTGAACAGTGTCTAGCCCTCTTCAGAAGGTTTCTTGGACAAACCATAGCACTCCACCAAGGCCACCGTGGAGATCCCACTTGCAGAGAGGGAGAGGGGTTTCTTGCAGGAGTGTAGAGGACCCCAAAGCTGCCACACTGGAAAATCTTCACCCAGTAGGATGATGATTCCGCAGAAGGCAAAGAGATGCAGCCCCCTCTCTTGGTTTTCCCCACCCTATATCCCCCAGCCCTTCCCAAGGCCCTGAGCCATGTGCAGTTAGGGCAGAATTGCAACAACACTTTAGGAAGAATGGTATTTGGTTGTAGATTTCATGACCTCCCCCACTTCAGGCACTATCAGCAAGCCCAGCTGAAGTGGAGATGGGCGGTCGTTGACAAGTAGACACAGCTGGCTCATTGAAATGGCTGTTGCTCTGCACAGGTCATCTTGACAGCATTGGCTAGAATTTTGGAGAGGAGGTTTTTTTGTTTTGTTTTGTTTGATGTGTGGGCAAGGTTTCGAAACTTCACCAATTTCAAAGCAGAGAAGTGTCCCTTCGGAGTTCATGAATGCTTGCGTTTATAGATGCTGGCTTTCTATGTTGGTTTTGACAAGAACGCTCGTCAGCTTACCCAGCAGCGTGAACATGAATTTTTAAATTTGCCTCTGGCGCCCTAGAAATGTTTCCAAAGTAACTTGATGGGAATGTTTCTGGCTCTTGGTCCCTGTGTAGTTGTTTCTGTGAGCCCTGCGGTGTTTATGGTTCCATGTGGTGGCTAAAAGCATTCTGCCTGCTTTCCCCGTGGTTTGCTTTTCTGATAAATCCACAGCCACAGTGTTTACTTTTCTGCATCATGTTCTCACCCCTGCCCTTTCGTGTGTTTGTTTTATCACGATGCATCTTTGCTGAGACCTTCTTAACGACACATGTGACTTGGCTCCATGCTGGGCCTGGCTAAGAGCTCTGGAGTTGTCTCTGGGCTTGGGTCCCTTCCCATCAGTCCACTAATGGTGTCCTAGAAGTCACCCGATCCTAGTTTTACTCTCTGTGAACACACTGTAAGAATGGACACCATGTGAGCTATGCTTTGCCGTGCCCTGCATGAAATAAGTGCTTGCTCATTGGTAGCTGTCATTAAGAGGGGTAAAAGGCTTTTATATTGAGTAGCTACCAACCCCCTCCCCCCGCAAAACACGTACCCAGCAGCTACATGGGTGACACCTAGAGGCAGAACTTTAGCTGTGATAGGGAGAGTGAGCTAGGACGAGAAAGTTTAAGGGCAGCAGCAAATGCAGCAGTGATGGTCTGCGTGTGTCAGCACACCCAATCTGTGGGCTCGCCTTCACACACTCAGTTTCAACAAATGCAGCAGTCATAGTCTGCGTGTGTCAGCACACCCAATCTGTGGGCTCGCATCCACACAGACAGCATCAACAGATTAGCAAATGGCCTCCATAATAGAAGAAGCAGGGGCTTTTCATTTTTCAGTATTGTTTTCCTGAGATCCTGTCTCTTTTATTTGTTTATTTAGTACATTATTTATATACATGATTTTACCTGAGTATAATGTTTTTTGTTTGGTTGGTTGATTGATTTGTTTTTTTTGAGACAGGATTTTTTGTGTGTAACAGTCCTGGCTATTCTGGAGCTCTCTCTGTAGACCAAGCTGACTGGAACTTGCAGAGGTCCTCCTGCCTCTGCCTCCCAAGTGCTAGGATTAAAGGCGTGCGCCACCATGCCTGGCTGGAGTAGATTGCATTTTAATCTTATCCATCCCTCAGCTTCTCCAACTCCTTCCAGGACCCTCCCTTCTCCATATGCCTCCCTCAGATTCATGTCCTCTTCTTTGCACACATATGCACACACACACACACACTACCACGTGCACACACACACACAAGCACACACATACACACACAAGCACACACACACACACACACACCTACTGAGTCCAGTTAGTGTTGCCTGTATGCACATGTAGGACTGAGCACCACCAGGGCATAGACAACCAAGCCGGAAGTTTGTCCCTAAAGAAAACGGACTTCCTCTCTCAGCAGCCATGATTCTTCCCCATCCGGGCTGGACTGTGGACTGGCATGGTCTTGTGCTGGATGTGTGCAGACAGCCATAGCCTTTGAGAGCTCTTGGTGTCACTGCCCTGATCTGTCCAGAAGACACTGTTTCACAGCAAGTCTTTCTGCCCCGTTTCCATGACATTTCTCGATCCCTGGGTGTAGGGCTTGGTGATCCATTTGGAGATGAGCTCTGTGCAGTCGGTCGCTTCTTTGCTGTACTTCAGCCCATTGGGAGCCCTGTGCTAACATCCAGCTGCTGCAGAAGGCAGTGTGTTTGATGAGGGGTTAAAGCTGCAGTAACCAAGGTCAGCGAGCGCAGCCCTCAGGCGCTGTCTTAGTTCTTTAGGACAGTGTGGCCCGACAGAGGGCTTTTAGGGGGAGTTTTCCTAGCATGTTACCCTTCACTTGCTTTTCCTGAAGTGTTTGCAGTTCCCCATTCTGGCCTTCATCGAGACTGACCCCCAAGGTGGGATAGTGGAGGTGGAGGACCTCTGGTGTCCTCTAGAAGGTGAAACACACGTGTCTGTCCAGTCTGTGTTTGCATGGAAGACCAAGGGCAAGGGCTGGAGAGTCAAGTGTGTCTCGTGCCCCCAGGGACACCACCATCGTCAACCACTCGAGGAACGGCAGCTATGGGGAGAGCTCGCTGGAGGCCCACATCTGGCCAGAGGACGAGGAGGTGGTGCAGGCCAACAGGAGGTGTCAGGACATGGAGTACACGTAAGGACGGCCATGCACGGCCCCCAGATCTGAGTGGAGATAGCAACTGCCGCTGCACTCCGTCCCCAGCCCTCTACCCAGGCGCTCTGTCCTCTGTTCTCGCTGGAATGAGCCTGAGGACCCCAGAGACCTTGTCCTGGAGAGAAGGAGGTTGACTGTCTCAGCGCTAAAGCAAGGGGCTCCACACAACAGTTCTGTAGGGACAAGTGAAGACGGCAGTTATCTAATACCCACAGCATTTAGATGTCCCTCTTAGTTCCTGGCGTTTGTTTCTATAATCTCCACATTACTGGAAGATTACCTGGAACGAGAAAGAAATTCCGCCGCCAAGGTCCAGAAATTTGGAGCCAAAATTACCTATTTCCACCAAAGACAAAGAGCTGTAAACAGTCAGGGTGTGCCCCCCTAGTGGACACACGGTTTCCAGGGACTTTGGTGTCACCTTCGTGCCTGTGAACCCAGTCCTGAGTCTCGGTGTGCAGAGTGGAAACGGGCTCTCTGACTGAGCCGTAAACAGGCTCAGTGAGCGCCAACCAGAGTTGGTGAAAAAGCTCAAGACTTACTGCCGTTGGTGGGGGAAAGCCGTCTTCCCTCCAAGAACCTAGCCATTTCTTTCTTTTTTCACTGTAGAAATTTCCCTGCAGTTACAGCGTACCTTGTTTAGGGCCGAAGTTCCCATGAGCCTCTAGCACCTCCATTCTTTCCCCCTAAGTGCAATCCACAAGCAGCTTAGGCCTCCAAGTCCCCAGCAGGTGACTGTGGCCATTCTCACAGCCCTCCTGGGAGTTCCCAATGTCCTGGGAACTGGGAGAGGTGCCCCGCTTTGATCTCCCGTGGAGGGCACAGCTTGACAGACAGCTTCTGGTACACCCGAGTCTGTGTCCCAGAATTACTGTGAGAGCCCCTGAGACAGGTGTCCCAGAGTTTTCTAACTAAAAGACATTTTAATCACACCTTTGTTCTTCTTTGTTTTTTGTTTGTTTGTTTGTTTGTTTGATTTTTACAGAATAAAAAACCTCCATGCTAAAATCATAGAGAAGGACGCCATGATAAAAGTCCTTCAGCAGCGATCCCGTAAGGATGCTGGGAAGACAGACTCTTCCAGCCTACGGCCTGCCCGCTCTGTCCCATCCATTGCTGCAGCCACTGGGACGCATTCCCGCCAGACTTCACTTACCAGCAGCCAGCTGGTGGAAGAGAAGAAGGAAGAGAAGACCTGGAAGGGGAGTATAGGTGAGATGGGGACCCAGAGACAGAGAGCAGGGCTACCGGAGTCCTGGCCGGTGACTCCCATCACTGTTGGGACTCAGGATGCTGCCTTATTCCAATTGTTAAAAATATCTTATTTATTAATTATGTATATGGTATTCTGTCTGCATGCCAGAAAAGGGCACCATATCTCATTACAGGTGAGTGTGAGCCACTGTATGGTTGCTGGGAATTGAACTCAGGACTCTGGAAGAGAGCCAGTGCTCTTAACCCCTGAGCCATCTCTCCAGCCCTCCCCTCACCTCATCTCAATTTGAACATTCTTCAAATGGGGAGTAAAGCCAGTCATGTTGGGTTGCGAGAGCTAAGCCAGGTACATGAAAGTACTGTGCAGATTCTAAAGGTTTGTGAGCTACTGAGCTTGGCTTGATGCTTGTCAGTATCGTCGACAGGAAGAACACAAAATGTCCTAGCAGGTCAAGCCTAGAGCCCCTCTGTCTCAGTGAGGTTTCTATTGCTGTGAAGAGAAAGCATGACCAAGAAACTTCTTACAAGGAAACCATTTAATTGGGGTGACTTGCTTACAGTTGCAGAGGTTCAGTCCGTCATCATCACGGTGGAGAGCATGGCGGTGTGCAGGCAGACAGGGTGCTGGAGCCGATAGCGCTACGTCTTGCAGGCAGCAGGAAGTTGACTGACACACTAGGGAGTATTCTGAGCATAGGAGACTCAAAGCTGGCCTCCTCAGTGACACACTTCCTCCAACAAAGCCACGCCTCCTAATAGTGCCACTCCCTATGAGATTATGGGAGCCAACTGCATTCAAACTACCACACCCTCAGACTGTCACCCCGTCCTGGGCCATGACTGCAACGGCTCCACAGTGTGCAAAGGTTCACGGAGAGAATGGGGAGAGTGTGCCCAGAGGACCACTCTCAAGAGCAGGGGTCTTCCTGTGTGGTACAGGCAGGAGGCTGAGAATTATTCCAGAGTGGGTCTTAGATGGAGAGGTATCTGGAGTAGACAGGATGCCTCACAGGCTGGGCCAGTGAGCTTAGAGAGGGTGCTTCCAAGTCCTCTGCTTGCTGGCAATGCCAGGGGGCCTTCTTTGACCCCTGTCTCTGACTCAGGCATGTGTTTTCATATGCTCTGCCCACAGTCAGTTTTCTCCCATATAGGACCTCAGAGGGATCCAGCTGATTTGTCCTACAGTGTCTGAGAGCTTCCATATGAACCCACAGAGTTGGGGGGAGGGTCAAAGGCTCTCAGCCAGAATATCTGTTTGAAGTGCCTCTACTGGTGGCCACTACAACCTCAGCTCATCAGGATTTGTGGGGGCAGCAGCTATGATAAAGACCATGGCAAGGACACTTAGCTCCAAACCCAGTGAGAGGCAGGTCTGATGGGAACTTCCCAGGAGAGATCTGTGACGTGCATCCAGGTACACATTGCTGGTGCCTGGGCTTAGATCTCAGCAGTTAGCAGGTCTGCACCAGTTTACCTCCTTGTCAGTGTAACTGGTACCCGCATGCCAGCCACAGAATCAGGAGCGACTCTGAGAGTTCGGGTGGCGGCCACCTCCATGGACCTCAGGTCTTCCCATCTGTTGTATGATGACTTGAAGAGATGATAGAGGCGAGAGTGTCTGCCTTCCTAATGGCTGGGCAGCTCCCAGGAGAGAGTTCTCCATCCCACCTCTTCTCCCACCTCTGAGTCTGCGCATTGAGGAGATGGGATTCAGGTTGGAGGGCTGAGTGGCCTGGGTCTTTTACCCCCCTGAGCTACCCCACCAGTCAGCCATGGTTTTCAGTTGTTTGAACTTGGAATACAGTTATCAACCGCATAGGGAATTTAATGACATGAGACTGGGGACACAATGAGTATTTCTCATTTCATCAAGCATGCACACAAGTGCTGACTTAGGGTGTAGAGAATAAATCACTGAATAAATGAAGTCATGTAAGATAAGTTTTCTTACAAAAGGAAGTAGAGGGAAACAGATTTTCCTTGAAAAGTCACTTCTTCTGCCTTCAGGATTCCTGCTGGGGAAGGAGCATCAGGGACAGACGTCTGCCCCTCTGCTGCCCACCACACCCGCCTCTGCACTGTCCCCGCCGGCTTCCACCGCATCAGCCAGCAGCACCCACGCCAAGACAGGCAGCAAGGACAGTAGCACGCAGACCGACAAGAGCACTGACCTCTTCTGGCCCAGCACGGCTTCTCTCCCCAGCCGTGGCCGGCTGAGCACTGCCCCTTCCAACAGCCCCATTCTGAAACATCCAGCTGCCAAAGGAACCATGGAGAAACTGGGTATGTGACCCCTACCTCTACCACACTTGGAGACCCCGTGGGACTGTGGGACTTGAGGGGGGGGGAATCTATAGGGGAGCTGTAGGTCAGGAAGCCCCGTTGCTCCTGTTTCGGTAGTGGTTGCCACAGTGACAACACAGTACACAGACTGAGTGTACTCTTTGTTGTCGTGGGGCTAACATGTGTCTAGGTCGTTACTCAAGAAAGGAAAAGAAATAGCCAGCTCGAGTGACCTGGCGATATGTGTGCTCTGCCCTTCCAAATATCTGATAGAAGTAACTTAGGGGAAGGAGGATTAGCCGTGGGCTAATGATGGAGGAGGGGACAGTTCACCGTGGTAGGAACAGCGTGGCAGGACTGAAGTATGAGGCTGCTTGTTCACATCTGAGTAGACAGGAATTAGGGGAATTTGGGTCTTCAGCAGCTTCCTCTTTTCCTAACTCCTACTCAGTCCAGAACCCTAAGACACTGTCTTCGCCAGGAGCCCGCCCACCAGTCATTCTGCACTTCCCACTAAGATAGTCTCAGCCTCCCATGAGCACACCAAGGTGCACGAGACTCCTGGGCGGGTCCTGACACTAGACATGCACCCATCAGAGAGTGCTTGGGAACCCAGAGCGCAGGCTCCTGGAGAGCAGGCTGCTGATATTTGCCCTCTGTTTGGCAGAGAACTCCCCTGGTCATGGGAAGTCAGCAGACCACAGAGGCCGTGTTAGCAGCTTGCTGCACAAGCCTGAATTCCCGGATGGGGAGATGATGGAAGTGCTCATCTAGCCTCGTCCTGTGGAGTTTCACACCGGCATGCTGTCAGGAAAGATGGCTGGAAGACGGGAAGATCTAGATGGAAAACCAGGACAGGTGTGAACACTTCATAATGTTACAAACAGCCGGCTCGCAGGACTGCAGAGAGGGGAAGGAAGATGTGTGCAGACTTGGAAGCAGAGTTGAGAAGAAATAGGAGTGGGATTTTCCATTGGAGAGAAGTTGTATGTCTTGGGGAGGCTCCATTCTTGGCTTATACACAGATGAAGAAGAGCTGGGCCTTCCTTGGAATCCCCCCATTCCCTTTGCCTCTTAGCAGGTTTATTTCAAGAAGAATCTGCTAGAAATCCTGAACACCCATCTTGGCATAATGTGGTGTTTCTGTGCCATCATGGGGTCTCTCACACACACACACGTGTGTGTGTATGTGTGTGTGTGTGTGTGTGTGTGTTGAGTGTGTGTGTGCCTGCCCTTTGAAGATGCATCCAGGGTAATGGGGAATTCCACAGGCAAGTTTTGTCACCTACTTGGCTGTTTGGTTTGTGATCTCAGTGTGAAGTTTTGCTTGTCTGGATTGAGTGGTATTTCTGACAGGATGGGAGTGTGGTGACCGTGGTCCTCACCCACCCTAACTTCTAGGATCTTGTTTGTTTATCTCTGCTCTACTTCCTTACTTTATTTTGTTGTATTTTTTTTTCTGTTTACTGAGACATAGCAGATTTCCTCACATGTGGGACTTAGGAGACTGTCATCTTTGCTATGGTGTCCAGTGGGACAGAGGCTCATGCTGGTACCCTGATTGCCCCCACCCCCAGCTTTGCTTAGCTAAAGTGTGGCTGTTAATGTCACTGTGAGCCAGGGAGGCCTGGATGAGGGGGAGCAGGAGTTCATGAGTCACTGGCATCACATCATGCCTCTGCTTGGATTTTTCACTCCCATCCCCTCTCTTGCAAGACACTTGACAGTTCCACCCCATGGTCCCGTTGGGAAGACTTTGGTATGAACCGGTGCTGCGGGTACCCAATGGTGGCTTTCACACAGCTTTCCAGGCAGCTCCCAAGATCTTGCCAGGCCTCCTGGGCCACTTTCTCATATTTGAAGCTTTTGGGTCTGTTCATTGCTCTCCCCTGGTTGCTGTTGGTAAGCAAACAGCTTCCGTGATCATTTTCCTTTCCTGTGAGCTTGCTGTGTAACCCAAGATTGATCGATACGCAGTGTGGCCAGCATCTAACAAGGGGCACAGCTTACCTAGATAAGGCAGCAGTATCATGGAAATGAGCCCCCGTGAGTGAGGGCCAGGCCCCTGAGGGTGCTGCCATAGTAAGGGCTCATGTGCATTGCCGTGGACACTGGCTGCCAGCAGAGCACAGGAGAAGCTGTCCAGGGCACAAGTGGCCCTTCAGGCTCCCAGACTATCCAAGTCCATTTCCTCATCACTACTTTTCCCTCAAGGGAAGAAAGAAATGCGGTATGTCTTTGATTCTTAACCCAAGCACTGAAGGACTGCATGCAGGGGGAGCTCTGTTTGGGCCATTTGTTCCAGGACTCGTCCCCAGGGCAACGCCTGGGTGAAATGATGACCTCCCAGGCTGAGGTGGTGCATGGGTTATGAGAGGGGTAGCCTGGAGAACAGCTCAGAACAGAAGAGGAGAGCAGAGGAGATGCCAGCGGTCTTGTCCAATACCTGAGCCATCTGACAGGACACAGAAGGTGGGGCTGACCTCTCCCTGCTCCGCGTGGCAGTGGGCACCAGGCGTAGAGCTCCCACCCACTCCTTATCTCTTCAGTCTCACGTCTCTGGCAGCCTGGGTGCTGAGCTTGCCCTGTGTGCTGTGGGGGAGGGGTGAGAGACCGTGTAGGGGAGTCTGCCAGCTGAGAGGGACCGGAGGATGGATGCCTGCGGGAGTGGGGACTGTTTAGATAGGGCGTGGAGTTGACGGCAGCTAACTGTCTTAGGAGCATGTTGTCTCCAGTTAATGCTGGAAACAAACCAGAGAGGAAAGTTAGGGAGGTCTTCCAGCCCTGTACTATATCTGCACCCCCTAAACTTAGGCTGTCTCCCAGCATAGGGGTGAAGCATGGCCCAGTTTACTCAAAGTCTAGTCTGAGTGTTCCAGGCACACTGCACACTTGGGCAGAAGACCCCTGTTCCAGCCAACTGTCAACATTTCAGTTGTCAAAACACAAAAGGAATGTGGACAGTTTGGGGCTTTAACTCCACGAGTACTGTGGCTTTTGTCCAAGACTCCATGTTGAGAGAGAAGATGTGGCTTTAAGGCCAAGGCCTTCAGTCTTCCCTTGCATAATTCTTTGAAACCTACAGGACAGAGGAGCTATAGCATTCACAGCCATTGCAAGCTGAGGTGTTCATAGGATCTGATCTCGCTTAACCCTGAGAACAGCGTGCAAGGACCAGAAACAGTGCCTGTAACTGGTAACAGGACCAGGTTGACACTCCTGGTTGCACACACAGACGCAGAAACTGGACTCACGAGGCTTATAGCCCCTCTCCAACCTTTCAAGCAGATGCGAGGCCTTAGAGACGTAGGAGTCTCAGCTGCAGGCTGCACAGTCCTGAGCATGATGTGCGGAGCTGTGCCTGATGCTTTGTGGCCCCACGTGTGATTCTTGTGTGCACAGGGACACTGTGCACCTCTTGGGGCCTGAGAACAGGACGAAGCCCAAACCACCTGTTGCTATCCAACCCAGCGTTCTCATATGGAGACAGGAGTCTTCACGTTCTGTCAAAAAGCACAACCCACACAGAGCAGCAGTCTAGCCTTCAGGTCTCCCGGGGTGTCTGGTTGTAGAACCTGAGACTTGTCTTGGGGTAAAGGGCAAAGGCTGTGGCTTTGATGATGACTTGACAGCATCCTGCTTTGTCCTGGAGAGGGCAGTGCGGTGACGTCTGCGTGTCTCCAGGTATCATGTGGGACGTGAGGGGTATTGGTCAGGTCTCTGCCACTGTGGTTTCATTAAATAAATGATTCTGTATGTAAGAACTCTTCCTGTCTGGAGGTCCATAGCACTAAGCTGCCAGGAGAAACACATTAATTTTCACAGAATTAAGAGTGAGCTGAACACTTGACATTGTTCTCTGTCTCCCAGAAGGTGGTGCCATCGGCTGTAGTGTCCAACGTGTCTCCACTGTGCCTCCAGTGCCTATTCTGTCCCCAGCTTTCCTTAGGGGAGGGGACAGGGATTGGTAAGACCAGTCTTGTTCAGTCCTGCAGAGGTCTCTCTTTGGAGCCCAAGTAGCTTTGAGTAGATTTCAAGAAAGTTGCTCCAAGTGAGTTCTGACCTCAGAACAGAGAGTCCAGTGTTCTACCCTCAGGAAGGAAGCTCCAGTGTCCCCTGCGGAGAGGCAAGTGTCCTATTTGCTGTCCCCTGCTTGGCCTCAGCCACCTGCACATACTCAGTGTAGTGGCTGAAGCTCCTCCTTCCAAGAGCTGATGAGCTGAATCCTCCCCTTTCTGCAACCTGTCAAGTCCCAGAGACTTGTGTGAACAGTCAGATAAGGCTGAAGTCCCAGAGACAGTGACAATGACAGTGACAACAAGGGACTTCCAGGCAGATCTCTCCTGTGTGGGCTGCAGAGAGCTGTGCTGGTGGGAGGGCTCGCTCTGCAAGCGTGAGGCCTCTTTCTTGTCTGCGCGAGTGGGTGCAGACTTTCCCTGTGTTCTCCGGGTGATCACACATCCCTTTTAGCCAAAGGAGTCTCGTGGACATTGGAAGCAAGGTCTGACAATGTTCTTAAATGGTGAAGCCAGAGAAATCCAGTAACTTCCCTGACAGCTGAGGCAGCCAGTCTCTAAGTACACATGTCGGCTTTCATCTACTCTTTCTAATAGTTAAAGTGTTCTAAGTGTCTTTGGTTAATGTGAGGATTGTTTAAGGCATTTGCTCATGGGGTGGATCCATGGGAAATAGGCTTCAGACAAACTTCCGAAGCCAGCCAACCAGCAGTGTTTTTTCCTCTTCTCGGTAGTATAGCCCTTTCTTGTTTAGTAACTTAATGGTATATTACAATATGTATGTGTAAGTGCATATATATGAGGCGGAATTCTTTTCTTCATATCCAGAAAATCCTACTGTTTCCCATGAGCTTTCTGCTTGGGAGGGCTGCAGGGCTCCCCAGATCAAATGCTGTTATCTGTTCTAGCAGAATGGCCTCCAGGGCCTGGCACATTCCTCTGATTCCCCGTGAGGTGAGAGGTCCTTGTCTTTTGAGAATGGATTTAAGTTTTGGAAATAATCCCAAGTTGTCCACAGCACAAGTAAAAGAACACAGAGGGCAGTTAATCAGAATAAGAGTTCCAGGGTCAGGGAGATGATTCAGTGGAAAAGGGATTGCCACCAAAGCCAAGATCCCCAGGACTTGTGCGGTAGGAGGAGGGAACCAGCTCCTGTAGGTGGTCCTCTGACACACACACACACACTTTCAGAAGACTAAGACATGTAGGAAGAGTTGTTTGTACACGTGACCCCTAGGGCCTCGTTTTCAAGCCCCTTTCTCTTGCCAGGCCTCATGCGCTTTCAGTCCACTGCCCATGCTACAGCCCTAAGTACATATTCATTAGTGCGAACACCCAGTAGGGGTTCTGTGAAATGGAGATCTAAGTGCATGTTATTGTCGTGTGTGCTGTGACTGAGGTGTGTCCTTTGCCCTCCCTCCAAGACAGTGCATAGCCAACAGCTTCTAGATTCAGCTGCTCCATTTCTGCTGCCTGCGTGTGTTTACTCGTGACTTTGCCTGTTCTCACGCACACACCTGTGAGTATTTATTGCCAAGCAGTATGGGACAGACTTATCCACAGTTCTTGTATTTAAATGTTTTCTAGGAGGGCCAGTGGCGCCTCCTCCTCACTGAGGCACTGACAGAATCGGTGTCAAATTCTGTGAAACAGGGCCAGCACAGGCACCAGCTTCAGCCTGACCGAGTGCCCTGGGCCACTGTCCTTCCCACTTGCCTTGTGTGTGTGTGTGTGGCTGTGGTTGTGTGTGTGTGTCCCTCCCCTGTTCTGGGGGCATGTGCCGCACTGCCCAGCAGGCTCTGGTGTCCACGTTTATCTTTGGCATCTTTGTGTCACTGGATTATATTGAGAGGCGGCGTCCAGATCCGTCCAGATGGGTCCATGTGCAGAGTGGGCAGTCCCCGCTCAGCAGTGGCTGTGGACACTGTTGGTCAGCCAAAGATTCTCCTGTTCTTTGCTGCTTAAATTTTGTGCCTTAATATTGTAAATAATAAATGGGTGGACAGCAGGTGGCTCCTCTTTCCTTCCTTGTACTGTTTCCTTCCGGAGGACATAGTGAAACACAGATGTCTCATGTTGACACCCTGCACGTGGGAGAGCCTCTCGGTGCTAGCCAGAGCCCCGCCTGCGGCTGCTGCTGCAGCTCTCAGCCCACACAGACACAGACTCTTCACGGAGGCCTTGAGTCATGGCACCACTGCCGGAGTTGGCAGCCCACACTCCCTGCTTGGAAGATGAATAAGGAGGGAAGCAGAAATGTGGGAGGCTGGGCTGGGGTGTGGGGGTCCTCTCCGCACATATCCAGGCACCCTCTGAGAACTCACTTTGGGAACCAACTCTGCCTTGGGCATCCACCCAAGCAGCCCAGATGCCAGGGAGCAGACCGCAGTCAGACATGCTCCGTGCCCTAAGGTGCACGGGGAAGATGGTAGCTGCTTTGTCACAAGAGAATCGGTGGGGTGGGGGCTTGGGGTGGTTTCATAGTAGTGAGTCATATGATAGATAAGCTAGAATTCTGACAGGGAACCTCAGTGACTAACACTGAACAGGATAAACCCCACGAGAGTTCACACAGCAGGCAAAGGCACTTCTGGTGGGTCGGTGACTGGAAAGGGGCCAAGCCCTCTGGAGTGGAAATCTGTCTCCATCCCAGGTCCCAGCATGACAGGGAACAACCCCCACGAACACAGTGTGGTTCCCTTTAATCCTTACAGTAGTCTAGTCGCTGTCTGTAAAGACCGGGAAACTGAGGCACAAGCAGGAGCAGAGGGCAGAGATTTCAACTCTGGTCTTCGACACAGTTGGCAAGCTTGCTTACAGAGCATGTGCGGATCCCTAGAGGCAAAGGGCTCAAGCTGCTGTCTGCCTCGCTTTTTGTTTGTCCCGCCTACTACCCAGATACACGCTCGGAGGGCTATTTCACATTCTTATTAGGAATTCAGACACATAAAACGGGACAAATGAGCTTTTAAGAGAGCTGCTACTCCAGGGCTAGGTGTTAGGTTTGCTAAGTTGTTGAGGGAAAACAAGGAGAGTGCAGTAATTCCACAATTGGAGTTTCGGACAGAGTGCCATTGAAGAGCCTCTTAGGAACACAGGTAAACTCGTGTCTCGTTGGTGGGTGTAACAAAGAGAGGGTTCTCAGCTGCAATCTGGGAGCCGGGAGGCCAGGTGCTGCCACGCTGGCACACTGGCCCTGCGTGTGGCACTTGGAGGAACTGGCCAGGACCTCTCTGAGAGACTGCTAGATTCAGTCAGTCTCCACAGCACTCTGGAGAGGAAAGCCCAGTGCTGGCGCAGAGGGACCCACACGTGCATTCCTCAGCCAGAGCAGCACCCCAGTACAGAATCACCGCACCCTCTGAGTAGAATCTAACTGGATATTCCTCGTGTGAATAGGTGGGTGTGGAAAAGGTCAGCCCAGAACGTCATCAACCCTGACACGTTGTCTCTGCGTTACTATCAACCTAGGCCCCTCCTCAACAGTTGCTCTTCACAGACCGTTGACATAAACAGGTGCTTTTTGTGTGTAAAGAAAACACATAGACTAGAGAGACTGCTCAGTGATTAGAGTGTCTACCATTCTTCTAGAGGACCTGAGTTCAGTCCCTGTCACCCACGTGGGGGGTTCACAGTGTCCTGTAGCTCTGGCTCCAGGGAACAGAGGTTTGGGACATATTGTGCCCCCTTCAGGAAATGCTGTCTGAAGCTAATGAGCCGTCATGGATACTCAGGACCTAGGTGGGAAGGACCAGAAACAAAAAGGACGATCACAGCCTAGGAGCAAATAATGACTCTCTAGCTCGAGCCACGGACGCCTTCCACACAAACAAAACCAAACTGAGGAGAGAAGGAAAGGAACGTCGGCTGTGGGCCAGAGTGGGCTGGAGCTGGGGGCAAGTAAGGATACTAAGTAGGTGAGAACGATTTGCCTGGCAGTAGTTTAGGATGGAATCTTTCAGTCAGATTTGGAGCAATTACTTCTGGCTAGATGTTTGGGAAATGGCTATTTCATAGGAAAGTGGTTTTTTATTCCCTTTTCTGACTACCATTAAAAACATTTCCGTTTCCATTTCGGTGTCCCAGTTGATAGTGAAGTGGCACAGAGAGGAGCACAGTAAACCCTGAAAGTCTTTGTAACATTGAGCAAACGCCAGGAATGCCGCACACCTATTCCCAGACCGCAGCAGGCATCCTTAATGTTCCATAGTTAGAAAAAGTGCAGCAAGCCTCTCCCCCATTTGACGTCTGCATTGGGTTTCTACCACTGTATTAAAATGCCCAAAGAATTCAACTTAAAGAAGGAAACATTTCTTTCGATTTGTCGTTTTGAAGGTTTTACTCTATGATTGGCACCATCACGATGGGCCTATGGCAAACCAGGGAACAAAGCTGGCAACTCCTGAAAGCGGGAACAGCAAAAGAGGGTGGAAGGAAGGGGCAAGAAGAAACCGCACCACTTAGAGCATGTTCCCAGGGACCTGCTTCCAGCTCTGCTCACATCATAACTGGTGCCCCACCTCCAAGAACATCATCAGCTGGAACGGAGCCTTCAGCATGCCTTTGGGTGACATTACATATACAAACTATAGCATCCCACTCCTGTTCTCAGGGTCTCACCAGGCATAACACAGTCTGTCTCCAGGAAGCTTCATCTCAACGGTTACAGTACTACTGAAAGGCCAAAGTCTAAGATTCTTAACTGCGAGGCTGTACAAATTAAAAAAAAGTCTATTTGCAGCTGGGCAGTGATTGCACACACCTTTGATGCCAGCACTTGGGAGGCAGAGGCAGGTGGATCTCTGTGAGATTGAGGTCAGCCTGATCTACAGAGTGAGTTCCAGGACAGCCAGGGTTACACAGAGAAACCCTGTCTCAAAAAACAGTAAACCAAAACCAACCAAATAAACAAAGGAAAGCCCATTTGCATACTTCCAGCACAAAATGGTGCTTGATAAAGGTTTCCATTCCAAAAGGAGGGAGTTGGGAGTGGGGACATATACAAAGGAGATAGACCAAAGCAAAACCAAACCCAGCAAGACTTCCAATCCTATAACCCAATGCCCAGCATCTGGGGCTTGTACATATGGGATGTGACCTCCACAGAAATGAGGCGGCGTCATTGCTAGGACCTCGGGGCTTCAATTCACATGACTACCCTTGTGATCACTCTGCCCATTGCGGGTACATCCTCAGTGAGATGTTCCGCTTTCTGGCCTCTCTGATTTCCTGGAGTCTCCACGGCAGCCCCGCTGCACTCCCACAGCTCCGGGTCCGCGCCTTGTCCTCTCCGGGACCCCTCGCGGTACAGCACATGGCCTCCACGCTTTCCTGTGGCATCTGGGTGAAGACTACGGTCAGCCTTGTATGTCTGTCCATAAAACTAATGCCATGAGTGATGTCAGGATCTGCACCAGCGCGTGCAGTCGGTGGCCCTCTCGGACCTGGCTGCAGCAGCTTCTGTGTAGCTGAGACTGGGCATAGTGAAGTAACTCCGTAGAGCCGGTTCTGGCCAGTCCCGTGTGAGCTGGGCTTCTCAACACTCACCCTTCAAAGCAAAGCCTTTCAAACAAAGGTGTGCTTTTACAGACGAGAGCGGGTCACCCTGAGAAAGTTGCATGGCACGGAGCAGACACGGTGACTTTTCCAAGTGTTGTGGCCCTGGTACCTAGTGCAGTTCTGACACAGGGCAGCTCTGCTGGCTGAGTCAGCCCTGGGGATCTCACGAGGGACGAGTTTAGGGCGCAGAATCCCTGGTCCATCATAGGCACCAGTGCCACCTCACAGCACCTGCGCCAGTCTGGCCCCAAAGGGCCTCGTGTCAACTACGGACAAGAGCATCTGCCGGCTGATTTTTCTGGGCTAGGGATCCTGGACTGGACTCAAAGAAGATGCTCATTAGAAGCTGAGCTAACTGTGACATACCTTGAGCTGCTCACTGCATGTGCTCAGGACTTACGTCATGGAAACTGGAACCCTGGAGAAATTCTTATTTAGAATGTTTATGTTATGTATATTTGTTATGAAGACAGCAAAAAGAGTATGGAAATGTACAAAAAACTTTTCCCTGTAAGTAGCCATTACTAACAGCTTGGAGGATTTCCTCCCAGATTTTTCTGCAGATAGATACAAACAAGTAGTCATATATAGGGCTCTGCATAAACACATAGTAAACTGAAGCAATAGACCATGTTAGTCAAGCAATGAGATTTTTATTAAATACCTCATCATGGCTTTCCCAGATAGCACATATAGATCTGTTTCTTATGTTGAGCTGTTCAGACAGTATGGGGGTAAGGATGACAGGAGCATCTGTGTGGACTTATATCGTAGGAAGAAGCCTTGTTCTACAAGCACAGCTGCATCTGCGAAGAGGCACAAGAACCCACAGGTTGCATGCTCACCGTCATGCACTTGGAGGTCCTGAAAGGCTGACGATGCAGTTTCCATAAGGAATGCTGTTGAAGATGGCCAGTTTCAGCTCTGTGGAGTTCCCCAGGGCTTAGGGAGTAGAGTAGGCTCCTTACTGTGCAAGAGAGAGACTCCTGCAAGAAGATCTGATTTTCTTCTCCATCAGGCAGCGGATAGGACTTGAAAGACTGTATGGCCAAAACTGGGCCCCTGGGCATCTGTTCTGTAATATGCTGAGGACAGAACAAGGTGGCTAAAATCTCAGGAAGACTGGGTGTTAGCTCTGCGGACACTGGCTGACAGCTATCCTACCCCCACGAGGCAAAGCTTCCCACAGGAGTTTATCCCAACAGAGGTGCTGACTCTGGTCCTCAATTGAGATCAAGGGGTCTGGACCCTCCATGCCATCCTGACACTGCGGCTCCCCTCTCCACGCACTGTTGGGCAGCTCTTGTTGCAGCTGAGACTGCAATTCCCCCAACTTCCCCGGTGCAGCCGAGCCTGTGCAGCTCATACCTACCCAGAAAGCCTCTGGGAGCTCTCTCAGGGGCTGATTTTCCATGTCATGGCCCGCCCTTTGACCAGCACAACATAATTCCGCCAGGCCCTGGT